CAATTCCTAAAGTGTAGAACGCGGACCCCATTGAATCGATAAACTCCTTGATGCCATTTTTGACCTCCCCTTGAGTAGCAAAGCATTTCTCCGATAAGAAGTGATAGAGGAACTTGAAAAAGTGGAAATCTGTAGGCGACAAATCAGGAGAATACGGAGCATGAGGGAGGGCTTCAATGTGCAGCTCGTTCAACTTTTGAAGAGTCTTTAGTGAACAATGCGGGCGGGCGTTGTGTTGCAATAGGATGGGACTCTTCCAATTCACTAGAGCTGGATCGATCCTTCGAATTTTTTGCATACATTTCGTTTATTTCGTGAATATACTGATCAGAATTCATCGTTTTTCCGTTTGGTAGAATTGAATAATGGATCAGACCTTTCTGCGACCACCAAACACTGAGAAGAAGCTTCTTTGGGTGTAGGTCGGGCTTCGAAAAGGGGTTTGGTGGTTGTTCTTTATCTAGTGATTCGGCTTTGCGTTTTCGGTTATCGTAGAGGACCCATTTTTCATCACATGTTACAATTCGATCCAGAAATGGCTCCTTTTGATTACGAAACAGCAATGAATACGATGTGAGGTAACGGTGCAATTTTTGATATTCGTTCAACTGATGAGGCACCCAATTTTTCAACTTTCTTACTTTTCCGATTTCCTTGAGATGGTTCCCAATTGTGTGTGGAGTGACTCCAAAGTGCGTTACTACTTCTGCCTCCGCTGTTCTGGGATCCGCTTCTACCAGCCCCTTTAATTCGTCATTATCGAGACTATCATGGCGTTCTCGGCCTTCCTTGTCATTAAGATCCTCGTCGCCTTCCCGTAATCGTTTGAACCAGCGCTGAACTGCTCGAACTTCAGCTTTATTTTCCCCAAAAACTTGATTGATGTTTTGGGTCGCTTCTGACACATTGTGGCCAAGCTTGAACTCATACAAAAAGAGAAGGCGAAAGTCTCGATTTTCCATCGATGTAAAACAACCTGAAAAAAAAACCATTAAGGAAGGTCCAAGCAAAAGTGTTAAACAGAAAAGAAAATTGAGAAAAAAAATACTCAAATACATAAAAAGACCCAAGGTCAATAAGCATTTGCAGCCGCGTAGGCAACGCCGGAAAGTGAGACCCACAAATACGACATTAATTTTTTCCGTACCTAATATTTAAGCTATCAAGTAAGCTATTTAAATATTGGAGTTGGATTGGACTTGATTGGAGTTTTTTGAAGGTTGAGCGAAAAGATTTTTTTAGACAACCCAATCTGGAAGCCTTCTAGATAATTCATTGACATTTTTTCACTTTTAAATTTCATTTATTCATCTTCATCAACAAAACAACAGTGATTTAAACTGAAGAATAGATGAATCGTCAAAACAAAGGCGTCTGAATCAATAGATTCATCGATACCTTCTCCTTGATTATCAAATTCGCGGAAGTCGTTGATTATCAAATTCAGAAGTCGTATTGTTTGGAGTGGCTCCAGAAGATCATCGATTTCTTTCTCCATTCGAGAAAGTAATCGAGCTGTAGCAGCTGTAGCAGCTGTAACAGCTGTAGCTCTAGCTCTTTTAGCAGCTGTAGCCCAGTAGAAATTGCCCCGTCGGCCTTGAAACATTGAATCAAATCGTCTTCTTCACCATTTGCTGAAATTCCAATTCCACATTCTTTGAAAGACTTCTGAAACATTTCTGAAATGAATTTCTGAATTATCATCAAAAATGCTCCCATGCTTTGACAATCCATGTCAAGTACGTCTCCATCGAATGTGGTTTAGGATTTCCACCCCCATCCCATCTTTGCACGATCTCGTCAAGTCTGGAGCCGAAGTTAAAACCTAGTCTTCGTATTGTTGCTTGATGTTACATCCGATCTAGAAATCCATCCGATCTAAAAATCCATCCGTTCTAAAAATCCATCCGATCTAAAAATCCGACTGATCTAGAAATCCGTCCGATTTAGACTGATCCTAGATCGGATGTCCGATCTAAATGAAGTGAGGGCAAACGTCTTATCTAGAATCAAGCCGATCACTCTAAACCAGGCGTCCAATCTAGACTTAGATTTAGAGTGATCATCTTGATTCTAGATTGAACGTTTGACCTCACTTCACTCTAGATAGGACAGATTTCTAGATATTAGGGGTTTGCAAAAGAAACTGCGTATTATACGCAACGTTCAAACACCTCGAAAATTAATAATAAAAGACTTTATTCCAAAAGGTACTCGCCAAAATTATCAACTATATTTTTCCATTTTTTACGTAGACTTCGGATGCCTGATTCGAAAGATTCCGGATCTTGTGACGCGAAATAGTCTTGCACCCAAATTTCGACTTCTTGGTAATTGTTAAACTGTTGATTTGCAAGGAAGTGTTGCATAGATCGGAACAAGTGGTAATCTGAAGGGGCGATATCAGGGGAATATGGCGGATGAGGCAGAAGATTCCAGCCTAATTCTTCTATCGTGTTTTGAGCCAAATTCGACCTATGTACCCGGGCGTTGTCAGCAAGCAAATTGATTGTCTTTGGATTAATGCCTCTTTCTCTTAGAATTTCATCAACTTTCTTTAACTGCTCGGCGTAGATTTGAGAAGTTATAGTTTTTGAGGATTTTTGTAATTCAAAGTAGACGATTCCTTTCATATTCCAAAAGACCGACAGCATAACTTTCTTGCCGTGAAGATCTGGACGTGGTGTCGGAACTGGTGTTTCTCCTTTGCTCAGCCATTGTCTTTTGCGGGTTGTATTATTGAAATATATCCACTTTTCGTCCATTGTCAAGATGTTTTCAAAAAAAGCACTGCCCGTGGCCTTTCTCAATAAAATCCGAGACATTAAAACACGGTTCGATTTGTTTTCTGGGGATAATTCGTGCGGGACCCATTGGCCACAACGATTTTTTTTCCAATAAGCAAAAGGTGTCGGGAAATTGTGCTCTTATCGCATTTAAAGCATTCGGCTAATTCGGACAAAGTTCGAGTTGGATCCGACTCGACAACCTCGAGCAACTCCGCATTATCGAGGACAACAGGACGATGTCCATGGGGCTCGTCTTCCAAGCCCTCATCTCCTTCACGAAAACGCCGGAACCATTCCTGACAACTTCTTTCACTCAAAACGTTTTCTCCAAATGCTTCACAAAGATTCCGGTGCGACTCCAATGCTGATTTCTTCATTTTAAAGTCATAGAGAAGGCAAGCCCGCAAAACGAATTTTTGATCCGTCATCTTCGACAACTAAAATTATTTATGTTTTTTTTTTTTTTTTTTTTTTTTTTTTTTTTTTTTTTTTTTTTTTTTTTTTTTTATTTTTTTTATTTTTTTTTTTTTTTTTTTTTTTTTTTTTTTTTTTTCTTTTTTTTTTTTTTTTTTTTTTTTTTTTTTTTTTTTTTTTTTTTATTTTCATAAAAATAAAAATTTTTTTTTTTTTTTTTTTTTGTTTTTTTTTTTTTTTTTTTTTTTTTTTTTTTTTTTTTTTTTTTTTTTTTTTTTTTTTTTTTTTTTTTTTTTTTTTTTTTTTTTGTTTTGTGTTGGTGTTTGTTTTTGGGGGGGGGGGGTTGTGGGGGGGGGGGAAAGTACTCCTTTTTTTTTTTTTTTTTTTGAATTCGCGCATTCTTGGTGTCCTTTTTTTTTTTTTTTTTTTTTTTTTGTTTCCTCTTTATCCTTTATTTTTTTTTTTTTTTTTTTTTTTTTTTTGTTTGTGCTTTTTTTTTTTTTTTTTTTTTTTTTTTTTTTTTTTTTTTTTTTTTTTTTTTTTTTTTTTTTTTTTTTTTCTTTTTTTTTTTTTTTTTTTTTTTTTTTTTTTTTTTTTTCCTTTTTTTTTTTTTTTTTATTTATTTTTTTTTAAATAAATTTTAAAAAAAAATAATTTATTTTTTTTTTTTTTTTTTTTTTTTTTTTAAAATTTTTTTTTTTTTTTTAAAAAAAAAAATACTAGTACATCTCTTTTTTTTTTTTTTTAAAAAAAGTTTTGGGGGAAAAGAAATTGATTTTTTTTTTCCATTTTTTTTTTTTTAAAAAAAAAAAATATTTAAAAAAAAAAAAAAAAAAAAAAAAAAAAAAAAAAAAAAAAAAAAAAAAAAAAAAAAAAAAAACCAAAAAATTATGCATCAACCCAATATAATTCAATGGTCAAACAAATGTGAAAATCAGTAAAATAAATAAGCGTTATCAACACAATAGAATAAAATTTAAACTGGGTTAGAGCACTTTCAAATAGAGAAAATATTGTTCCGGAAAGTCATGCGCAGTTTCTTTTGCAAACCCCTAATAGTAACATATACTTTCAAAGGAGCGTTTCGCTGTTCTGCTGATGTTCTGGCTTTGCGAATTTGGTCGTCCCTCCAGGCATGCGGTGATACACCTAGTGATCATATTATTATCGCATCGATCGTATCGTATTGTCTTCGTATTGTTGCTTGATGTATACTTTAAAAGAAGCGTTCCAACAAGCATCAGTAGGCTTTACGAATTTGGTTGTCCCCTCCAGGCACGTAGATGCAGATACACCTAGTGATCAGCTTTTTTTTGGAATTCCCTCTATATCTCATATGTTATCAATAACAAAATTGATTCATCTACTATTAGAAACTTAAAACAAACAAACAACTTAAAGCAACCAATTTAGGAAGACTCTCATCCAAAACTTTTCTCTATCATGCACAAAATATCTTCGAAGAGCTTTTCGTGAGAAGACGATACTATAAATCTCTTTCACCAATCAACACCCAACTGTCAAGAGAACCGGATCGTAAGCAAAACACCATAGAGCAAAATAGAGGAAAACAGTTTAGCTAGTGAAAAGTTTCCGATAACTGTTCGCCTTCAGCATCTCTACATTTTAGAATTGGTAGGAAAAGCTCTTAGCTTTTAGGAAAAGCTCTTACTTTTTAAAAAAAGCTCTTACTTTCTAAGAAAAGCTCTTACTTTCTAAGAAAAGCTCTTACTCTTACTCTTACTTTTTATTTAGGATAGTAGCTTGCAGCTGTTAACCGCTTATGTTCAACTTCAAATGCTTTGGCTTGATCCAAGACTGTCTTGGGATCCATCAATGAATGGAGACATTCAAATGATTTATGTGGATTGTATTGAGGTTTGGCTGCCCGATGAGGTCATCGTTTCGAGGTTTGTCGAAAAATGAAAACTGAAACTGAAACTGAAAGCTTTCCCAACTCTTCCAGTATTCAAATTCGAGAAATCGATGCCGGCAAGAAGCATGAGTGCAAAATTTACGCAAACGGAACAGTGGAACATGATAGAACAGCTATTTTGGACACTGCTTGCATGCTAGATGTAAGGCTTTTCTCAGAACTAATATCATTTTCTTACTTTAGATGTGAATTTTACTTTAAATGCTAACTTTACTTTAGATGCTAATTTTACTTTAGATGCGAATTTTCCCGTTTGACTATCAAGCTTGTCAGGTCAGCTATTCGTCTCAAGTTTATCGATGGGCAGAGATACAACTTAGTGCCGAATTGTACACCAAATATGATTCGAATTGTATGACGGTGGGTGAAGGAAACGAGTTTAGCCATCACTTGAATTAATTGTTTGAAGTCGTCTAACAATTGCTTGAAATTGTCTATCAATTGTTTGAAATTGTCTAACAATTGCTTGAACTTGTCTATCAATTGCTTGAAGGCGTCTATCAATTGCTTGAAGGCGTCTATCAATTGCTTGAAGGCGTCTATCAATTGCTTGAAGGCGTCTATCAATTGCTTGAACTTGTCTATCAATTGCTTGAAGGCGTCTATCAATTGCTTGAAGTCGTCTATCAATTGCTTGAAATTGTCTATCAATAGCCAAAATTTAGTTCATTCAAGAGCAGTGATTTTCTAGTCAACCGTTAACTTTTTTTGATAAGGATCATAAATAAAAAACAATCTATCAAACAATCTATCAAATTCTGTCTATGAAATGCTTTCAGTCAAATTTTGAGTTCGACGTCCTCAATCTGACGATTGTTCGAACAAAATGCGATAAAGGAAATGGGAGAGAGCCCTTCAATACGGTAGATTAATTGATAAAATGTCCAAAGTCCAGAGATTTAATCGTTTCGGTTAACCGATTCATCGTTTAACCCTCTCGGTTAACCTTTAGATAACATTTGCCGTTCTCCTCCGTCGCAAACCCTATTTCTACATTTACGTAATCGCGCTTCCATGTTTCCTCTTAACATTCCTTTCGGTTATTGCCGCTTTTTGGACACCGAATTTACGAGAAGAGCAACTACTGAAAGTAAGGCAAAGTCGAAAACTGTTGCTCAAAGCAAAGTCGAAAACTGTTGCTCAAAGCAAAGTCGAAAACTCGTGCTAATTTGCTATCTACATAATTTGCTATCTATTTTCCTTATTCAGCTTAGTATCGCTGTCACAAGTATGATGTCGATGACGACTTTTGTGAACATTATATCGCAAGAGATGCCGAAGACTGCGAAATTTCCGTTGTTAGGTAGAAATCTAGAATTGAGACTTTTCAAAGGCATCTAAATTTAGGAGTTTTTGTGTTAACCTGCATTTTCATTACCTCAATCGCAAGTGTGATGTTGGTGGTTTTTCCGGAGAAGAGAAGTCACATAAAAGACTTAAGTGGTAAAAGGTAAACTGTACTTACTGTACTTACAAACATTACAAAAAATAAAATAACTTTATAAGAAGACGTTATTCAAGCAGAAATCCGCAACTTTTATAGTTAAACTCAAAGTTAAAGCTATTGGGTTGGGGAGAATGAGTCGGCGCCCAACTTTAAAGGGACTTTTTGCATACATAAAGCCTTCTTTAAACATACGTTTGGTTTCATCAAAAGGATCCACTATTTCTCTACAAAATCACTTTTGAAAGATTCCACAAAGCTTTTCTTTCGTGGAGTTTATGAACTTCCAAACGCAGCTGGTTAAAATGGCAAAGAGTCCGACTCATCATTTGAACAGTTTCTTTCACATAAACCTTCTTTGGTGTTTATATAAAAAAGATAGAGCACATTCAATTACTTAAGTTGCCAAATTTGCAGGAAGATCCCACCAATGGTTTTTTCTAGATCACAGTTTGTAGTTTTTGTGAAAAAATGGCTTTTTCTTGAGCGGAGGCGCTGTTTGAATTTTCTTTTAAATGTCATTTTGTAGAGAATTAGTTAACCATTCTACTCATATCAAACGCATATTATTTGACGAAGTCGAATAGAAGTTTTAGACATTTTTTTCATTTTCGGCGCCGACTCATTCTCCCCAACCCAATATGTACAGCATGCGTCATAATTATGGGCTCAAATCAATCAGTCTAATCGAATAACAAGGCACTCAAAGATAACAAAGTTCTTATAACAATCTTTATTTATATGTTAACAAGTGTAAAAGTCGAATTTCAAAAATTCCTTCATCAGCGGTGGCTTTAAGATGTCAGCACGCTTCAAGAAATTAGCAGAAGGCCCCCAACTGTGGCACGCAAGTAGACAACATCAAGCTCCCATGCTTTAAGAAACGCTTTCTTTAACGAGTCAACTGTTCCGTTTAGCACAAGCCTTAGCTTCTAAGATTGAATCGTCTAAGATTCTAAGACTAAAAAAAGCAAGCGGATTAAGATCCGGCGAGCTTGAAGGCTACTCGTTGAATGAGATGAAATAGGATAGAATCTATAAACCTGCTCACTATAAACCAGAACCTGCTCACACGTCATTTTGCGTTTGCGTTATTTTTTTGAAATAATTTTTGGGGGGTGGGATAAATGCGACCTTTTTTTGCGCACCTGGACATTTGCGCACCTTTTTTTTTGCTGGAAAAGGCCTTAGGAAAGGTCGTAGAGCTTCAAAAATGTTTCCATACTAGGGAATCGTATGCGTAGATTCCGAATTTCGACAAATCAGACCTCGCTGACACGTCAAATTTGGGCTAAAAGGCAAAAACTGCGGAAAAGCGTTAAGTTGCGTAGTTTTTGCCTTTTAGCTCAAATTTAACGTGTCAGCGAGGTCTGATTTGTCGAAATTCGGAATCTACGCATACGATTCCCTGGTATGAAAACATTTTTGAAGCTCTACGACCTTTCCTAAGGCCTTTTCCAGCGAAAAAAAGGTCGCATTTGTCCCACTCCCGATTTTTGCGTCATTTTTTTGCAATAATTTTTGCTAAAAGTACGGTAATTTTTTTGCCAAGTGTGCGTTTTAAAAAACGCATTACTCGCGAGGAACACACTCTAGTTGATACCATTCCAGAAACCTTCGCTCCAGACTGCTTTTATTCATAAATTCAAAACATTTCTGCTTCTTCGCTTTATTTCAACTCGCCAATATCGCAAGTTTTATCGTCTTTATGTCGTTTTGGTATCATGGACCGACGAAAAACGCTGAAAGTGTCCTTTCGTAGTCTAAAATACAGTCTTGTTTTCTTGTAGAGTGTCTTGTGTCTTGAGAAATAGTGTGTAATAGGAAAAAACTAACTTTAGCCAGTTTTTCTAGTCACTTTTCAAGATATTCAGTTAATTTCTATAGTAAACTGTTTCTTATTCCACATTATTTCATATTATTTCATATTATTTCACATTATTTCACATTATTTCACATTTCACATCAAGACAAACACTCTAAAGAGATCAAGTGAAAGAATTTGAAGTGTCAGCTCCGAGCCAAACTGATATTGTAGTGACTATTGTTATTATTGAATGATTTGTCTATTCGTATGCAAATGTGTTCTCCTCTGTGCTTATCCCTTTTATTGCCGAGAAGGGGCGGTCCTTAGGATTGCCTAGGAGGGCAAGTGGACTCAAGTGGGACAAGTGAGACTCTCATTAGGAGTCCCTCCTTCCCCTTACACTCATTTCTAATCTATTCATCTTATTGTATTACTGTAAATAAAGATACGTATCTTCCGGGTCTATGCAACTGCAGTGCAACTACAGGTCGGTCATTTCACAGGGACTCCCCTCTAATACGTTGGAGGAGTTGAGTTGGGTTGTCGGTGTGTTAGAGATGGCGGGATATCAAAAAGGGATCCGCTCTTTTTAACTTAACCCAAATTCTAGTCCACATCCGTTTACACCTAGGAACGTATAGAAGAAACAAAGATAAACAAAGATAAACAAAAATAAACAAAAATAAACGTTATTGTAGAATAAACGTTGAAAAGTTTTTATCAAAAAATGCAAGAAATTTTGAGAAAATCATACAAAGCCAATGAAAAATTGATTGATTTGATTAATTTTCACTGCTTTCACTGCTAAGATTCATTTCATTGCTTCAATTTCAATGATTTCAATCAAGTTTTACTTGTCGTCATACCAAATTGAGCAATTGTTTAAGAACATTTTTATGAATTCACAAATCTTTGTCTTTATGAATTCACAAATCTTTGTCTTTATGAATTCATCATCTGGAATGAATTGGAATGAATTGGAATGAATTGGAATGAATTGGAATGAATTGGAATGAATTGGAATGAATTGGAATGAATTGGAATGAATTGGAACTGAATTGGAATGAATTGGAATGAATTGGAATGAATTGGAATGAATTGGAATGAATTGGAATGAATTGGAATGAATTGGAATGAATTGGAATGAATTGGAATGAATTGGAATGAATTGGAATGAATTGGAATGAATTGGAATGAATTGGAATGAATTGGAATGAATTGGAACTGAATTGGAATGAATTGGAATGAATTGGAATGAATTGGAATGAATTGGAATGAATTGGAATGAATTGGAATGAATTGGAACTGAATTGGAACTGAATTGGAATGAATTGGAATGAATTGGAATGAATTGGAATGAATTGGAATGAATTGGAACTGAATTGGAATGAATTGGAATGAATTGGAATGAATTGGAATGAATTGGAATGAATTGGAATGAATTGGAATGAATTGGAATGAATTGGAATGAATTGGAACTGAATTGGAATGAATTGGAATGAATTGGAATGAATTGGAATGAATTGGAATGAATTGGAATGAATTGGAACTGAATTGGAATGAATTGGAATGAATTGGAATGAATTGGAATGAATTGGAATGAATTGGAATGAATTGGAATGAATTGGAATGAATTGGAACTGAATTGGAACTGAATTGGAATGAATTGGAATGAATTGGAATGAATTGGAATGAATTGGAATGAATTGGAACTGAATTGGAATGAATTGGAATGAATTGGAATGAATTGGAATGAATTGGAATGAATTGGAATGAATTGGAATGAATTGGAATGAATTGGAATGAATTGGAACTGAATTGGAATGAATTGGAACTGAATTGGAATGAATTGGAATGAATTGGAATGAATTGGAATGAATTGGAATGAATTGGAATGAATTGGAATGAATTGGAATGAATTGGAATGAATTGGAATGAATTGGAACTGAATTGGAATGAATTGGAATGAATTGGAATGAATTGGAATGAATTGGAATGAATTGGAACTGAATTGGAATGAATTGGAATGAATTGGAATGAATTGGAACTGAATTGGAACTGAATTGGAACTGAATTGGAACTGAATTGGAACTGAATGGGAAGTAATCGAATTGGAACCGAATTAAAACCGAATTAAAACCGAATTGAAACCGAATTGGAACTGAATTGGAACTGAATTGGAACTGAATTGGAACTGAATTGGAACTGAATTGGAACTGAATGGGAAGTAATCGAATTGGAACCGAATTAAAACCGAATTAAAACCGAATTGGAACTGAATTGGAACTGAATTGGAACTGAATTGGAACTGAATTGGAACTGAATTGGAACTGAATTGGAAGTAAGCGAATTGGAATTGAATTGGAACTGAATTGGAACTGAATGGGAAGTAATCGAATTGGAACCGAATTAAAACCGAATTGGAACCGATTTGGAACTGATTACGGGGACTAGGGGTATCTTTGATATTGTATATTTTTTGCTTACAATTTATATATTGTTTTTGGCTTTCTTTTGATTTATTTAACTATTTATTTCCTATTTTTTCTCAAAAAAATGTCTCTTTTTAGAATGGCAAAGAAGTGAATGTACCGAGATCATCGACCTACACAAACGTG